TTTTCCTCTGAGCTTTCTAGAAGTCAACATCATCACAGAAATTGTGTGTTATGTACTTCTTAATTTCTATGAAATATAAATGGATGCTTAACCTCTCGGTGGTGACTTTTTAGGATTTTCTAGCTGAGCAGACACATTATCATCACATTTACATTAATATCTCCAAAGTCACATCTACGTTAATTACATCAGCATGTTATGAACCTTATACCTCTGAGACGTGGCTGTACAGGGCCACCCTAAGGAAACCTCCCAAGGTGCCTCCTTAACTGGCTTCAGATGCCTCCAAAGTCACAGGACCATGCAAAACCTCTCCTCTAAGACAGTGTCCTTGGGTGTCTCCATTCCTAGCCCCAAACCCCAACTATTCAGAGGTTCTGTGGTCACCCAGATCAAGACCCACCTTCTGCACCTTCATTTTCCACCCAGGATATGCATCTTCTCACCAGAGAACAAGTCAAATAGTCAGGGAGACCCAACACATCCTTTCAGGGAGACCCAACACATCCAGAGAGATGGGGCTCCATTCCCTGGCCCCAACAGAGCGACCCCACCAACATGCAACATTTCTACCTCAGTACACTGTCCCAGAGCAGAGCTCTTCCATCTCCGGTGACTTTCTCTTGAACCCAGACGGACCCCTTCCCCTCAAAACAGACTTGTTGAGGGAAAACATGAAGACGTGGAAAGCGCTGTTCAAAACAACTCTCCTGATTGCAGCTGTATGGTCAGAAGCTTAAATGGATCAAAATGGATGTGACAATGGTTCACTTATTTTATACAGGCTTCAATTAACTCTCAAAGGAATGTTAGAAATAAGTATACACATCAAGAAACGGAGGGTTGGAGTCGATAGCAACCCTTCCCGTGCATAGAACCAGTGGGCAGCCAACCGAAGGCTGGGAATCATTCTGGGCTAGTTGTAAATCCTCTCACTCAAGCTGGCATCACTGCAGCTTCAGAGGCCATGATGAATGAAAATTCACGAGGATTCATTCAACAAACATCGAGGGAACTCATATTATGTGTTACATGTAATGTGATACATAACATAATTATGTATTTTGTGTTAAGCCTTGCAGGACCTTTTAGCTCCATTACCGTTCATGAATGAATTTATGAATTTATGCCTTTTTCCAATAAAATCTCTGTTTTCTTATCAAGATTTCTCCTTTGAGGAAATGACCTGAGACCCAGCACCTAAGTGAGCAACACCCCTGTAAATACAGACCCATGAAACAGAAGCAGCAAAACTCTTCTGCCTTCTGGTCCCCCGTGTGCTACCACTCATTGAGATGAGCCCACACTGAACGAGCCTAGGAAATTCCCTCCCCAACCTCACACCACTGCTGCCGGCCCCGGGTGCACTGTGGATCGTCCTGGGTAGTTGTAACACCTGCCCCAAGGGACCTCTGTCCTTGGTGCCCCAGCAGGTTAAGCACATCATCTGCCTGCTGGCGCGGTGTCCCTGCTCCAAGTCGGCTGTGCTGGGCTCACAGCAGGGCTGTTATCTTAGTTTCTCAGGGCCAGGGAGTGAGTCAGAGAGAGAGAGGACAGGTCCCCGAAGCCCTGAAGGTCTATGCACAGGATATGTTTGCTAGAGGCGTGCGGCAGAGAGTGTAAATCTCTCTTGCTTGCTGGGGCTGAATACAAATCAGCCCTCATTTGTATTCATTGATTCCACCAGCAGTGGGTTTGAGAGGCTGAGGGTGAGCATGCTCCAGCGAGGGCCAAAAGCCTGGACTCTGGTCATGGCTACACCGCGAACTTCTATGTGAACTTGCACTTGTTACTCACCGGCCTCGGCGTGAGATGGGGCGTGAATAACCACAAGTCTGCGGAGATGCCGTGTCCTCACCAGCGGGACAGCTGGAACCCCCGGCCGGCCACTCCACCGGCCGGTTGTGTAGCCCTGGACATGCTGCTCTTCTGAGCCTCCACGCGCTCACCTGAACAACGGGAAGGAACACAACGCCTGAGTCCCAGGGTGACTGTGCAGACACATGAAGCCGATCTCATAAAGCGCGTACTCGGATCTTGGTGGGTTGCGAGCCCCAGACAAGGAAGGCCGTCCTTGTCGGTGTTATTCTTGCACAGGGGGGTTGTACACAGCGAGGCTTCATGAATATTCCCATTTATACAACACCATTACAATAAAAACTGCATTATGGATTTAAAGAATCTTTGATATTGAGCTGTGCTCAGCAATACGCTAACAACAGAGACATCTCTCCATACCCCAGTAGGACTTTAGGGATGATCTGGCCCTGTGCTCTTGTCTTAGAGGGAAGACAATCAAGGCACAATGAAATAAAGTTTATTTGCCAGTATCCAGAGCTGGTCAGGGATGTATTGGGACTGGAGCCCACTTGCTGTGAATCTCAGAACAGGTTTGTGCTTCCATCTGTTGCCTTTCACACGTAAGGAGGACAAAGTTGGGGGGATTGAATGAGTTGCCCACGGGCATGCAGGTAAGTAGCGGTAGATGCCACATGTGTGGCATTCTCCGTATGTGCCAAGCCCTGTTCTCAGGTTTGCACAACTCAAAGCTTTCCTGCCCTGTGATTTGCTATGAGGACTCCCACTTTTCATATTTGGATATGGAGGCACAGAGAGCGCAAGTGAGTTCCCCAAGGGTGCACAGGAGACACCGGCATTAAAACACAGACTGTCTGGCTTTTGAATCTGCTAGAACATTCTAGTCTTTCAACTTGACCCTATTAAGCTTGAGCTAACCAGCCACCGCCCATAGCAGGAGCAGTCCTGGGACCTGTCATTCAAGGGTCACTGAGCCTGATATCCTGGGGTATATACATCTGCACCCCTCCGGGGATGATAACGTGCTCTCTGCATGCTGGGGCAACCACTGCTGGACCAGCTCTGCACCCCTGCAGCGGCACACCAGCTCCCTGGAGGATGCACCCTATTTTAACATCAGCCCTGCCTGAAACAGCATCAGGGAACAGGGGCCACCTGCTCACTGGAGTCTCTAGTTCTCTGTGAAGCCCTTGAAGGCAGAATGGCCTCCTTTGTGCTGAGTCAGCATCTTGAACTGCTTGAGGGCCATGGAGAGGGTCCCCAAAGGAAACTCTGGGCTTCTTGATAATCTGGGCATATGGGAAACGAGAAATTAATTGTACTATTGAAAGAGATGTGACTTTATTTGTTCTGCAACTAGTTACATGAAATAATAGCAGGCACATTTAATGAGAACTTACAAGGCTCCAGGCACAGTATCAAGTAATTTACATAACCTAGCTCCTTTCATTTTTGCAACACGAAGGGGTAGGCTGTTTTATCCATATATCACACGTAAGGCGACTGAGCCCCAAGGAGAGCAGTCACTTGTCCAAGGTCACAAAAGTATGGTGTGACAAAGCCAGTGTTCAGAATCAAGAATCTGATGACAAAGGACAGCCCCCCTCCCGCCCCCTCCATAGTGACACACAGCCAGGCTGGCACTGTGACGGGAGAGCAAGGAAAGCAAAGTCTCTTGCTAGGTGAGAGGATGCATGTGCGTTGTCTGAGTTCTCTGGCAGGGAATGAGCACGTGATCTCGTGGCCTGCCTTTGAGAGACAACTAACTTTTAGTGGCAGAAACTGGTGTCCAACCAGGAGGATTAACCCTACTGATGCCATGAGCGCCCAGGTGCTCTTGGCCAAGTCCATTTTCTTTCTCGTCTCGCGAGCAGCCCAGCTGGAAAACTGGGCACAGGACAAGAGCCTTTTTCTGAACCAGATCTCCTCCCCGAGGCAGGCTTTGTCCCTGGGAAAGAAATTGCGACAAAATGAGAGGCAGAAAGGGTCCTTTTCTAGCTGCAAAAACTATTCCAGGGCCGTGTGCGGATGCTGGGCCAGGACGAGACGCAATTAGCAAATCCTGACACCAGTGGCGGCTTCTCTCTCGGGCAAGGTCTGTGTTGAAGCCAACATCTGCTGGTTTGCCTTGCCATGCCAGGACAGGCTGTGCCAGTCCTGCTGCCTGCACACTCCACGCCAGGCAACTTGGCAGGGCCCAGCGTCCCCCCAGGGCTGCATGGCATGGCCATCTTGGGGAAGGGAGAGCCTCAAGGCCCCAGATGGCCCCACAATCAATGCTGATGTTGCCAACACAACTCCTTGTCTGTGAACAGCGACCGTGGTGCAGAAGACAAGATAAGCACAATAAATAAATACGATTGAAGTGGACACTAAGCATATTAGAATGTCTTTGCTGCAAGGCACTTGCAAAATTTGTTTGTTCAACAGAACTAATAATATTAGCCACCACTGACAGCGGGGACTCAGCGCCAGTGCCTCTTCTAAGTGCTGTGTGTACTTGATCCAATCGATCCTTATAGCGACATGGAGGGCAAGAGCAATTATACTCTCCATTCCACAGATTGGGAAACTGAGGCTTGGAGAGGCTAAGGAAATTGGCCAGTGCCACAAGACTTGTCATTGGCAGAGCCCAGGTAGAACTAGAATTGGTACCAATTGGGAAAACTCTTGTTTCTTAATTCACTGCCTCCAACTCCATCCTGAAACACATATCCCAAGGAGTCAATCCTTTTTAAAAGGAACATACAAATACCCACAGTAACTATGTATTCACACTCATGAAGAGGAATATCAGCTTCCTGGGGGTGATGACTCTAGAATGTAACTCTGGTCAAAGAAATATAAAGTTAACTTTGAAATTTTATGCGGAAACCAAGCCAGAGCGCAAGAAGACAGAATGTCTGGGGTCCCCTCCACTTCCAAAGTGCTGTCATTCTTCAGAAAATTTACATCACAGCTGAGCTGGGTGCATGGGGATGATGCATCAGTGCTGAGTCCACACCAGACCCCCATGGTCTTTCTCCTTTTCCCCCTGTCCAGACTCTGCCAAACAGCATAATCCAAACTCATATAACTCCTGCTGCCTGAGATCTTCTATGAGCCACCAGAGGCAGCTTTCCGCCCCCAAACCATGTGAGCTCACCATGACATCAGTGCCTCTTCTATGATGTATTGTAGCATAACAAGGGTTAGAATCCCATCTTTACCCCACCTGGACTTACCAGCAGGTGTGAGCAAAGCAGGTGCTTAGGGAGAACTTGTGGCTGGGGTGGAGGAAGGAGCAGGGTAATGAGGTAAGTGAACTTGGGAAATAGAGAGCGGACATAGGTTTTATTGTTGCTCAGTGTGAAAAGCCAGGAAATCTAAGAGTTCCTGGCACTGATTTTATTCCTACCCCTTAGCATTTTTAATGGACAGAACTGGAAAAATTCCATCACTATTAATGACCCTTAGCAATTAGACTGTTTGCCGGTGACTCTGGGACTGGACTAGGAGGAACACTGCAGTTAGATGGTTTACAGCAAGGTCAGCAGACACACTAGGTGACTATCCATGGCGATTTCCCATGAGACTGTAAATCTAGGCATCTCCCACATGATATTTGATATTTTCTCTATTGTCTATGGTTCCCTTCACGTCAGTTTGTTTTTATTCTTACTTTCCCTTAGCCTAGAATTCCTTTTCTTCCCACTCTTTGGAAATCATCTTTCTACAGACTTATGTCAAGCATCCTGTTTTTTGAAATCTGTGCAGACATATAGCCAAGTAGAGCTGTTCAGTTACCCTAATATTTATTGATCATAAATCCGGTGCTGGTTATATATAGTTGGCTATTATTCTTTTCACATGCAGTCACCTGGAGAAGCCTTGAGTACATGCAAGGAAATGAGTCATGGTTTAGAAAATTCCTGCTCCCTCGCCCTCGGACTGGCTAGACTCTAGGGCACATTCACTTGAGTATCTTCATAAGAATAACCAAGTCTAACGCATCTTTGTGCACTGAGAGGATGCTGTGTTTGGAGATAGTCTGAAGTCATTGGGATCCAAGCCTGAGAAATATCGTGGGTTATGAGGTAAGAGGAGAAGTTAAAGAAATCCTACGTTATGGGAAGAAAATGAATTTTGAAACCTAAAGCCCCCAGTTTCCCTCTCCTACCTACCTACCTGACATTAGAAAATCTGTGTCTGTAGGCAAGTCTCCTAAGTTTTCTGAGCTTCTATTTCTTGAGGTAAAATAGAAAAGGTAATAACACCTATATCCTGGTGCAGTTTGTTATGCAACTGAACTTAGCGAATGTAGGCGAAGATTGGGGTGCAGTGCTGGTAAACGTGGGATGGTACCCCGACAGGTGTGACTGCAAAGTCGTCAGCCTGACTTCCACGTGTACATATGAGTGTGTGCTCATTCCTAACAAGAGATCCAGTAAAGTTCTAGGCTCCCTGGCGATGCCATCTCATCCTTGGCGACATCCAAGTGGGTGAAAAATGTTCCCTAAAACGATCATAGTTTATTTTCGGGGAAACAAAGCTGGCTTTATGGTCTTTATGTCCATGCCACGCTAGTGCATTCCAGCTTTTCCCACAAACTAACTCAAATCTTGAGAAATGCCAACCTGTGAAAGGCATTGGAGGGTTCTGGGCCTCTTCATTTCACCCTTTCCTAGGCTGCCAGGCAGGTCTGTCCTGGCCTAGTCCTGAAAACAGGATGTTGGCACAAGCCTGAAGAGCCTCCCCAGAAGCCCTTGCTCACAATCTGGAATTGTGTTTACTAAAATATGGATGGAGGCTTCCTATTCCTGGTGCCAGATGATACTGTCAACCTACAAACAAATTGCATCTGTGCCACGCAGTAATTGCCAGGTGCCCACAAAGCTGATGTGTTGCCCTCTGCAGTAGAGATAAAGTTTCTCCAAGGACCCACTTTCAGCATATTTGGCAAAATTTAATTTCATATTCTTACTTACAAGTTTTTCCCTGCATTCCTTATTAAAAAATAAAATAAAGTGCTGTTACCACTTTTCTTTTGATAAGACTCAGGCAGTCACAGTGAGGTCTTCCCTCGGGTCCTCAACAAAGCGGCTTTATTTCCCCACCTCATGGCCACAGACCACTTGGAGATCAAGGCTTCCCAGGCCCTTCTGTCTTGAATGGCAAAGAGAGAGAGACAGGGCTGCTGAATATGTAAATCCTCCCTGTCAGACAGCCTTTGTTGTCTGTTCTTGGTGTGGGGAGGCTCAATTAAGGGCTGAACCCTCACCCCAGAGCCCAGAAGGCTTAGAAGGAGGCTCTGGGAGGTGTTCATGGAGAGAATATTAAGGTGAAAGGAAGAAGTAAAGGAATCTCAGTGAAAAGACTGGTGTTTTGTTTCGTTCGATTCAAAGGATAGATTGGTAACCCTGTCTTGAAGGAAGGAGATGGGGCATCACTGATAAAATCAACCCAAATGAAGGCTGGTCTCCAGATTGTTTCAGGGACTGGGGTCCCTGCACTGGGCCAGCGAGCTGCTGCAGGTTTGCACGTCACTTGACTGGGGAACACCCCATCAGCCATGATTCCTAACAATTCACGAACCAGTGGCATCCAATGCAGGCAGATGAGACCAATGGCAAGTTCAACGTACCAGCCTATGGCATGTGAAATTAGTTTTGCTGGATTTTGCTCTGATTCTCACAGTTGAAGATCTTCCCTTTTCTCTGTGTCCCCCCTTCTGTCTCACTTTATGATGGACTCTTCTGCGCCCCGACTGATGCTAGAACTTGATCCTGAGCTCTCCCGACACCCTGCAGCCTGCTTGATGGGCTCCTGGAGTGCTGTCCCTCCATGTCTGTCTGTCTCACCGCTGTATCTCCCCCCACATGACAGTGGTGCATTCATGTTAGTTGACTGTGTGAACTGCTGGCTCGTGGCTTATGATGGGATGTAGCTGGACAGGAACTGTATGGCTTCTACCTGAACAGCTGTAAGAATTGCCTCTTCTTGAGCTATCTGCTGAGACTCAAGTCCATACCCCACTCACCAGATCTGACCTCTGGGACAGTGATGTTTTGTCAGCCAACTTGCCATGACTTTGACTGTGCTATAGTGTTTCCTGAGACAGAGGTGGCCTAGTCTGTTCAGGCAGCTCTAATGAAATGCCATAGACTGGTGGCTTACAAACAGGAGACACTGATTTCTTATGGTTCTGGGGGCCGGAGGACCAAGACCAAGCTGCCCAGCATGGGCAGGTGTGGTGGGCCCTCTGCTGGACTGTAGGTTTCTTAGTGTGCAAGGGCGCTCTTGGGTGTCTTTCAGAAAGACTTGAATCTTTTTCTTGAGAACTCAGCCTTTCTAACCTCATCACTTCCCAAAGGCCCTACTGCCTAATACCTTGATCTTTGTACTAGCACGGGAAGTACAAGTAGGGATTGCAACAATGATGAGAGAAAGACAATTCAGATAGGAGAATAGAATTTATAGAGACATAGCAATGGACAAAGCCATGTTGTTCTCTGCTTGCATGGAAGAGTGCCATTTGACTGGTGCGGAGGATGAGTTAGACAGAGAATAGTCAACTAGATGCTGGGTTAGATGTGGGTCTTACGTTAGGGAACTGGGAGTCTCTGAGTGACTCTAAGCCAGGGGTGGGGAAGCTCCAACCCAAATCTGGCAAGCTGACTGTATCTGGAACAGTGATTTTATTGAATGCAGACATAACCATTTATTTCCTTATTGTGTGTTTTTCACTCGCTTACAAGAGTGGAGTTGCAACAGAGGTTATCTGGCCTGCAAATTCAAAACTATATCCTATCTGACCCTTTACAGAGTCAGCAAACCCTTGCCCTAAGCCAAGGAGTGACATGGCCCAACTGACATTTTAGAAAGATCACTCCAGCAATTGTGTGAGGCTCTGCTTAAAACCTCATCTGGAAAAGTGAAAAAATGGTGCTTCTAGAAGAACTTCAGGCTGATTCATAAAATCTCCATTCCCTCCCTGCTCCAACCCAGATCATGTACAGGTCTTTTAAGTCAGAGCAGATTCCTCTATGGCAATAAAATGAAGCATTTTTTTTTTTTTTTTTAGTCTTTGTGTTCCTGATGCCTCTCTTACTGCCTAGCGATTTGATTCAATAACTCAACGATTCAACAATTTACATGAATTGTTGCATTTATGCCCAGCCAACATGGGACACTACAGTCCATCCTGCTGAGCACCCCCCTGGGGGGCAGGACTGTAGAGAGGAGGCAGTTGAGTCCTGAGCCCTAACTGGGGCCCTGCAAGGCACTCTGAATTGCGTTTTTTTTTTTTTTTTTTTTAAATGCTTTTGCCTCCAGGTAACTCAGAAAGCATCTATTTTGAGGACTTTTCAACACTTGTCTCCACCCAGGTAAATGTCTCCTTGGATGAGGTCCTGGGGAGAGGAAGGCACTGCGCGGGGCGGGTTTGCTCTTGGGCACCAGGAGTCCCTTACCAGGCTAATCGGCATTTGCAAATGAAGATTAAGGGCCAGGCAAACAACCCAGGCAGCGATAACTGCAAAGCTGGCCTAATCTTAATGAAATCTGCAACATATATTTATATAAATCATAATGACTCTTGCTTGCTTTCCATGTAATTTGCTTCGATGGGTTTGAAATGACACAGTCAATTGTTTTGCCACTGCCTTCGCCCTATTTTGAAGAACTCCTCAGCAGCCCACGCTGGGCTAACAGTGACATGCAGCTGGTCCAGCGGGACCTCGGAGCCTGTTGAAAATGCATTAGGTTTAACTCCTTAGCCTCCTAGCAAAGCCAGGCTTCCCCCTCTAACCTGAATCTCAGAGAGAATGAGTTGGAAGAGAGGTGCCTGAGATGGTGCCCAGGTGCCACTAGCCATGATTCTCCTGTCTCAGAAGCCACCTCCATCCCGATATCCTCAGGGATTCCAGGAGTCCCAGAATCCAGCTCTTTAGTATTCATCACTGTCATTATGACTCAGCTTGCCACTCTGGGTATAGAGAGGCCAGAGACAAGTGGGTCACAGCCAGGGATGGAAGTGGGGTGCTGGCTGCACACCCTCACATTCTGATCCACTCCTCCCTGAGTTCTGGCCTGCTGTGCCCTCTCTGCCCAGCAGTGTCACCTCCTTGTCACCTGAATGTGACCGTTCTCTCCACATGTATTCTGAAAACAACCTGCATCAGAACCAGCCGAGGTGCTTGTTTAAAAATACTCCACATCTCTCGGGATGAAGCCCAGGGAAGGGCTTTTTGAGCAGACTTTCTGGATGATTCTTATCATCCAGTTTGAGAACCATTGAGCTTAACCCAGATATCAAGAGAATGTCATTGTTGCTCCCTGGTAGCCTGGGTCAACCCTGCTTTTAATTTGTCCTCTGCCCAGGACTTCTTTCCTTGATCGTCCCCACTGACAGTTCCTGGGTCACTTCTGATTCTTTTATCTTAGCCTTTATCCTGAGAGCTTTGTACTGCTACCTCCATTCAGCTGAGCCAGGATCCTCCCACCTCTCTGTGGGGCCAACTCTGTCTCGTTTTTATCAGGTCCAGTTCAGACATCACCTCCTCAGAGAGGCCTTCCCTGATGACCGTATTTAAAGGACCTCCTACAACTTGGCAGCTGTCACATTTTCTACTTTTCTTCCGAGCATGGACATATTTTGTAGCTGTGCTCTTTGTTCATCACACCACTGTGGGCACAACTAAGTTTCTCCAAATTAAGGAGGTGATTTGAGTCTGAAGAACAAAGCAGGCCTGTCCATTAAGCACAAGGGTCCTCAACATTGGCGAGGATGTCCACTGCTGCCCCCAGAGATCTTCTTATCCCCCGTTCAGCACATGTGATCTCTCTGGCATGGGAATAATGAAACCAGGTGTCAGGGACACCACAGGTGTCTTTGTTCTACTAAGATTAATATACTTGGGCATAGATCACAAATGCAGGTTCGTATGCATGTAAGAAACAAATGGGAAAAGGAAGGTGATCCTCCAGGGCAGAGCAATTGATGGTTCCAGGCTGAGATGGTGCTGCTACAAGGGGGGGAGGTCACCCTGGTTAGCATGTGGGTAGTCACTCTGGTTTCATTCATACCCCATGGGAATGTAAACTCTATGAGGTTAGAGGCCTCGTTTGCCTCACTTTCTACTGGATCCTCAGAACCTGGCAAGATGCCTGACTGTAGGCATTCAATAACAGTTTGTTAAGGGCATGGATGAATAAATATTGCGTTTTCAAGGAAGATGGCAGATTTCAAGAGAAGTTAGTCACCTGTGCCATCCCCTCTGTAATCACTCCCTATAAGTTCCCTGTCCTCTATCCTCTGCTTAGCACTCCTGAACCACAACCTCAATTTCCTTGTCTCTAAAACTGTTTCTAAACTATCCCCTCTACTAAGGATCCCTACCTCTCCCTGGGGTATTATGATTGTACTCCTTGATGTCTTGTCCCTGAGACTCAGTGAAAACAGTGATCTTTAGCGAGAGACTTGTAGGTACCTGGGACCAGGGCTCTCATCTGGAAAAGTTACCAGAGCCTTTCTGAGTAGCTTCAGAAAGTCACTACTATCCCCTACTGGGTCTCAGATGGCTCGTCTACCACTGCCCACGGCCTCTGAATGGTCACTGCAAGCTCATCCAGCCCCGCCAGCTCTGATGCTTACTGTGGAACGAGGCATTGTGCTACGTGAGAAGAGGGAGACGCTCCTGGGGCACATGTCCTGCATCTCCCCAAAGTCTGGTGCAGAGAAAAACTCTGTTCTGCCCTTGATCAGTTCTTGACTCTCCCGCCTCAATGCCTCCGGATGGTTGGGCATTTAACATTGGGCAGAAATCGATGTAGCCAATTTCTGAAAAACAAACAAAGAGCCCCAGTGTCATGTGAAGGGAGATAATAGATGAGCAGCAACTTCAGATCAGAGGAGTCATTAAATATCAAATTCCCCTGAGAACTTGGAGCAAAAGAGCTTCCAACATGGGCTTGAGACTGCCCCAAGCAGGCAGCCTTCTCGCTGCAGGCAGGTCTTGCTATGAGAAGTAGTCTGAATGTGTCGTTGCAAAGAAAATGATAGTTGCATGTGTGCTCCTCAACAATCATTGCACCCACTCCAGTAGGATCCTCCACAGTGGAACAAATGATATTAGGATGAGCTTTAATTATCCTTACAAGCCTTTGAAGACACATCTGAGCATCTGAGCTGAGTAAGACAAGGACTTGAAGGACCCCCTCCTACACCTACACACACACACACGGCATATATGGGTTTTGAGGGCAGAGAGAGATCTGGGTTGGCTCCTAAGCTTTATTTTTATTGGCCACAGAACTTTGATTATCTTATTTAACATCATAGTTTCCTCTTTGGTCCAAGGAACCACTGGAAGGATCATTAGATGACATATATGAAGCACCTGGCAACATTGCCTGGGGACACAGCAGACTATGAATAAATTACTCTTCTTTCTCCTTTGTCTACAATATACATCACTGCTCTGAATCTATATGTCTTCTCTGAATATACCATTTTTTTCCAGAGCTCCCCTCCCACACCCATTTTTCAATTCAAGTGTTAGGTGGAAGCTCTGCTCAGTCCAACCAACCACATTCCCCCATCCGGGCTTGTGACCTCCACTCTTCACTCACATGGCAAACCCATCCAAGTCAACTGTGGTTCTTGAGCTGCATCCCTACTTGGCTCCCAAGATGGAGAGTTACTTAAGAGGCCTCAGGCTGTGTTTACTTCCAAATCTCTATCAAAGCACCGGTACATAATAAGTGTTCTGATTTCCTGTGACCAACAAATTAGAAACAACACCTGGAAGAGGGAAACAGAATGGCGGCAGGAGATGTGACAGCTGGAGGCTTGGCAGAGCGGTCAAGAGGGACACGTAACTCCATTAGTCACAGAAACCCAACCTTTAACAACAGAAATTTGTGGGGAAGGAAGAAATGACTTTTTATTTTCAACACACTCATTCATTCTACAGATATTTATTGAAGATCAATTTTGCATGAGACTCTCTGAGACAGAGCTATAAATGAACTTCAAATCCAGTCTTCTTCAACTCAACCCATCTTTGGAAAGGATGGAAAGGATGGATGAGTGAGCCTTGCAATGGGAGTCTCTGTAAAACCAGACATCCATGCCCCTTGTCTTCAAGGGGCTCCATGTCTGGCCAGGGAAACAAGATTAATAAGCAAGATAATTGTATATGAAACATAGTAACCATATTATCTGTCACATAAGTGCAAATATTTTGTCAGTTTGTTATTTGCTTTTATTTTGTTTACATGGATTTTGACATGGAGAAATTTTGAATTTGTAAGTAGTCAAATCTATCAATCATTTTCTTTCCACCTCTGAGGGATGTGTGCGTGTGTGTGTATATGAAGGCTCTGATTGTTTCTGGGTGGGTGAGATTTTTCTTTAAACCTAACTGGCAATTTTTATTTCTATTCTATGATTATATTGAATTTGTAATAAGTAAAATATTATTTACCTTACAAAGGAAGTCATTATAAAATCAAACAAAGTACATGAGACTTGAACAAAGAACCTAAGAATACCCAGAAAGAGTGCAGCTGTATTCCCAATGTCTTCTTTAAAGATTTAGTTCCATGAAAAATGCCAAAGTCAAAAAATTCTTAAACTCAATGGAATTTGAAATTAATTTCTTTCTTTCTTTTTAAAAAAGATTTATTTTATTTACGCATACAAGAACTGGGGTATAGACTAGAGGTGCAGGGGGTGAGAGGATTCACCAGAGACAGAGTGGGGAACAGAACAGGCAGATGGACTGAAATACACTGCTGAGGGGAGCAGCGGGCGAGACAGGAGAGGTCTGCTGTGCCATGTGGGTTGCTCCCTGGCCGGGGATAGAACTTGTGCTGCAGAGGCTGCTGATAGCTTCTTCGTGCTGAGACTTAACCTCTTGCACCACCAGGGAGGGCCCTGAAATTAATTTCTGTAGACTAATTTCTTCTTTCCTAATCATTTTAATAAATAAAGTATGATTGCAAACACGTGAAATGCATGAGGAGGAGCAATCCCATCATGGTTGTGTGTCAGTAGAAGCTGGAGGAAGAGGGTCATGAACATGAACTTGTGAATCAGATTCAAGCACATTCTCTGAGATGGTTAGAATATACTTCATTTATCCAGTGTGACAACTGTGCCGATTTGTTTTTGTTTTTAATTCCCATTTTAAAGAAGAAACAATTAAGACTCAGAGATACCCAACTATTTCCTCTGTGGCATGCAACTGGTAAGTTGTACATGTGAAATCCAAACCTATAACCTCAGATAAAATGCAACTCTCCAGAAAATTCCTTATGGGGAGCCTTAGACTGCCGGGTAATGCTTCTCCTTCTTATGGAAGCAGATAAGATTGTTAAAAGA